GCCCGACATCCTCGTGCCGAGTCCTTGTTGAAGAAAGCGAGAAAAACTACACAATTATAGTGAGAAATTAGGAAGTCATTGGAACCTATTCCAAAGGAAAAAAAAAATTTTTTTTGATAATATAGAGGGAAGTAAATATGTATACTAAATAAAGAAAATTTCAGATATAATAGAAGAGAAAACTTATGTAAACAAATTTAAAAAAAAAATTTCCGGAGATATTACGGAGGAGAATGCAATGCTCATGTAGAGAAACAAAGAATGCGGTGGTAATACAGAAGAGAATACTTATGTATATTAAAAGAAAATGATTAAATGAATAAAAACAAAAACAAAAATAATAATAATTTCAAGTGTGCGTACACTGAACGGAAGTGTCACGAAACGGGAATTAGAATTAAGAGGGGAGGTGTGTGTTATTATTTATATGAAGAAAATAAAGATAGATACCTTAAGAAATATGAGAGGGAGCTGCCTTGTTCTTAATATCCAAAGGAAAAAAATATATTTCTAACGAAAAAGATTTTCGCTACCGACTCCGTGTCGCGAAATAGCGGAGTTGAAAGATATTAATCTGGGACAGTCACGTCAGAATGGCGTGATCGTATTGCGTGAGTCTTATGACGTATAGGTAACGCGCGATTGCTCTTGGGAAATTGATGAAGAGTGTTTAATCGATCTTCGTCATAAAAGGGATTTTGACCCACACGATGTCTAGAAAATGAATTATTTCTAGAGATAAAGGAGATAACTACGTGTGTCAGCAGAAGGAATTGAATGGAGACGTCGATGTAAGGCTATCGGACGTTGTTGGAAGAGGGCGAGGACCCATTGCTGAGATCTTTCGTTCTAATCTGGCTGTGGAAAGTGATTAACTGTTGGGATGCATCGATCCACCTTCGCTGTGAATGGTTCGCCGAAAATTATGGTGTTGAACGGTGAGTTAAATAAATTAAAGATCGGAAAGAGAACAATTATTGTATTGATTTATTTAAGTAGAGAATAGCTAGAGTAGATGCATCCAATCTATTAATGTAGACAATACCTAGAGTAGATGTGAAACAATGAATAAAGCATAGAGCATATCAAAAGTTAAGTGGATTGAATTGTTCTGCATACTTTTACAATATAAAATAGATGTTATTAACAAAAAGACAGTTTTTGATGGTGATAGTGTGGAGAAAGCCCGCAAAAAAGGGAAGGCTATAAGTATAGAAATATAGTTATTGTACGATTATAACAAATTCGAGTTTTGAGAAGAATTATGCATAAAAATAAGTATAATGAGCAAGGCTAAAATACAATTATGAGTTAAAATGCAATAATGAGCTAAGATAAATTACAAAATTCTTTGAGATTATCAATGAAAAATGTCGAAAGATTATAATGAGGCAAGAATAAGGTAGATTCTTTAATAAATTACCTAATAATTATATACATAGTGGCTTTAATGGTCAACTACAGTCTCGAAAATGGAATTAAAGTGTTAAGAAAAGAACATCAGGGATGTCTTTTCTATATTTAAGAGAATTTTGTTGCGATTTAGTTTAAAAATAGCTCAAGGCACATAAATGTATAAGAATGTAATGATCATGTTGGAATCCATAAACTGTAAAAATTGAAATACAGAAAAAAAAAATTATATATATATGTATATTTTTTAATAGCATTAAAATTTTTTATTATTTGGTAATTTTCGAGTGTAATAGCTTATTGGTGAGTAGCATGGTGTGCAGTTTGGTGGTGTTGCTGTAGGCTTTGGTGAGTTTGGGGATATGTATGTTGTGGTATTTGTGTAGGATGTGGCGTACTATTTGTCTGTTCGTGCATGTTTGTTGTATTTGCTACGGTAGTAGATTTTAGATTTCTTAGTGGATTGATTTGTTTTGGTGAGTCGTCGTCTTTTGTGACAGTCGTAAGGTAGCCAGAGGTAAGAGTTTTTAGTGATTAGTTTGTTGGGGTAGTCAAGAGCGGCAAGTCGTAGAGAAAAGAGTTTGTGTATAAAGTCGTAATCGTCTTTGGTTTTTGATAGTCTGCAGTATCGTATCTTTTTGCCACCAACACATAACCATATAAGTCGATAAGTATCTCGCCGTAAAAGACCAATCATTTTGGTGGATCTTTCCGAGAGCTCTGTCTACGTTTAATATTTTAACAAGGCAACAAAGCAAATCGAATCTGGTACATTTTTGACGACTGAAATGGCCTCTTATCTAACAAATGATATCAAGCCAAAAGTTGCAACTGAGGTACCACAAAGACATGTATGTACTATCAAGTTTCTTCCTAGATTTCTTTTGTCAGAAAGTTCGACTACATGCGCCCTTGATGTTCATCATCAACTGCTGCGTTTCCTAGAGAATAATTCAAATATGGCTGCGAAAAAAGTTCTCAAAATTGGCTCAACTTGCGCTATTCAAATATCCTCTCCTCATTCATTTTTAAACGATACTCTCTGGGGAATTTCTTGTAAATTTCAAGTTATTTTAAGTTAACAAAACAAAGATGTGGTGTACGGAATTTTGATGATAGAGACTAAAAAGCGGGAGGTAGATGTAAATTTCACGTCAGCTCGGGCTATGAAATAAATTCCCAAACATTTTATTACTGATTTTTGAAGCCCAGTAATAAATTTTACTGTCCATATAGGAATAATGATCAGAAGTGGTTGCTCATCGAAGATATTGGGCCTTAAAGTACCCTTATTTTTGGACTTTGTCAAAACCAGAAAAAGTCGTCTTTACTTAATTTCCTATTATTTTCATACATTTGTTAACTCATGATACTTAGCATTTGTGCCAAGTTTGAGCCAAATCGGTGATTTGAGGTTTATCGCTCCTGTCCCGATCTGCCCGCTTTTCTCATGGACACGCTCTTAAGTATTGTTCACAGCGCCTTATGGTCAATGATTGGAAATCAAGAACACAATCCTGATCGAGATATGCCTGATGGTGACGGCTGTAGGTCTCTCCCCTTTCTATCCAGCAGCTCGATTAAGTCGTACATAGTGGTTTTACACGTAGTTTCACAGACTAAACAAAGGGTCGCACAGACTTCAAAGTTTAGGTTCTCTAGATTCTTTTTTCCTCGTACTCGTCTACCCTGACTTGTTCAGTTTCAGTCTCCATCACTTCAGGAAAAGGAAAGGAAAGCATACAAACACATTTCACGGACACAAAATATACTTCTTTTCTTTAAATTTCAACGCTCGAAACATCACTAGCGTAACTTTAATTTATCCTTTCCATTTATTTCAGCAGCTCATTTATTTCCATTGGCCTAAGAGGCACTTGATTAATGTGGTAGTATTTAATGGGGAACGCTAGCATTTTTTAAAGTGCAACTAAACCCAAAAATTTTTTTTCGCTTAACTAAATAAGCGTATTTTTTGGAGTATTTCTGTGCAAAAATTCTTTTATTTGCTCAAAGCTTCAATTTTCTGTGCCCAGTGAAAATACGATAAATCAGCCGCCCTCTTGCCCTACGACCGAGTCTAAAGGGGAATGGCTCTAGAGGGTAATGTGACGTCAAATCGAGAACACGAAAGTCTGCATTTCACACATTTTCACTTGTTTGGGAAGGTTATAGTCGCTATTGTCCGAAAATATGCCGACTAAGTGTGTTGTAGGAGGATGTAGCAACGTACGAAATTTGCAAGAGGGTATCGCGCTTCATACATTGCTCATACAACACACCTAGTCGGCATATTCGGACAATATCGACGACAACCTTCCCAAACAAGTTAAAATGTGTGAAATGCAGACTTTCGTGTTCGCGATTTTACGTCACATTACCCGCTAGAGCCATGTTTGGGCTATTTTTGCTCTCTGGTAGCGATTTCAAGTCGTTTTGTCGCGTTTTGGCTGAGATTCCATCCCACTACTGCCTGCACTAAGAAGAAGGAAAGGGAGGAGGGCTTCGTTAGACTAACGGACTGATGTCACTGATCCACTCTCGAAAATTGCTCGATTCTCAGCATAGACCACGACTCCTTGCTTCGAAACTCAGACTAACGAAATCTAGAAAGACAATCAATGTAGTGGAATCTTATCTATTTACTCAATAATTTATAACTCGATTGCTTTTGACAAAATCTACGGCTCGTAAACTAAAACATGAGCCATATCATAATGACTCCCGTATTTAGGCACGATCGAGAGCTCCATTTTAAGTAACACAACACTATAATTTCAGACAACGCAAAGAGTGACAACTTGTGTGACCCTGTCACATTTCTTCATAGGTCAAAATCTTCTTGCGAATAAAACTGACCCCCGACGCTTTTACTTTCAGTCGCTCCTTTGAAATGGCGGCAGCTTCAAAATCTATTTTGCCTTTGGGTTATGTGGACGAGTTTGTAAGTGAAGTTGAAAGAGATTTGGAGTGTTCAATTTGTCATCTTCCACTTAAGGACCCTGTTCTCACCAGATGTGGACACCGATTCTGCAAAGAATGCCTCTCGAGGAGAATTTTAGAAGGTGCGGTTTGTTAGCAACACGAAATGTTATTATAATTAGCAAATTCATATGGTTTTACGTAGATTTCGATGGTATTTATTAAATTATTTACTCCTGACTTTTCTGAATCATAGAGCTGGTGTGACTTTTATCGGCAATTCCTTTAGATCCGAAGAGAAATTGAACGAACAGCGTTTTGCGATCAATCGCTTTCTCATTTTCGTTTAACGGTGTAATTCTCCAGCCGATCAATACATGTCTTTACAAGTCCATTATCGACAACATAATGTTAATAATATTAAAAGTTCTTTTAAATTAGGCTGGCTCAATTCAGCACTAGATGTAGTCAATCGCATGAAGAAACAGACCGGCACATTCACAGCATACTGACTGCTTCGACATAGCTCCGCTCAATCTCGGATATTGACCATATAACTTAAACCCCTCACTATTAGCCCATTCTTATTTATTATTCCTTATCTGGACAGGGAGAATATTCGAGAGACACAGTTTGTGGAATGATGTCTTTATTCTGACAGATAATCTGGTTTTTTACATGCAACAGACCTTACACCTTGACCGTAAAAATAATTATATTCTTGCATGGCGGATATGACCGAACTAAAAAGGCTTAAGGTTACTCCGTATGTGCCTGTAGTTTATATTTCTTTCGATGCGTGATTTAATTGTATAAAATTAGTATTCCATAATCAAAATTATTCCCTAGTTATTCCCTTGATTTCCAAAGTGATAGCAATCATCCGAAGAGTTGAACATGTCTGTCTGTTCTTTTTGTAATTTGAACGCCAAATGTGACCCGGAGACCTCGTGCGTGGTCATCCGATTAGGTTTGTCTGGGACTTGAGAGTATAACGTACAAATGAAACAGAAATAAAAGACAAATAGACGGAGGTAGAAAGGCAGTATAAGAATATTAACGTTTTCAGACATTGTTGTAACTATATAAACATTATCTATTATTACACCATTTTATTATATGGCTTTGGCTTGCGGCCGGTGTAACGCGCGCTCTGATTGGCTAAGAGCGACATCAGAGCAGGGCATTATGCAGCGGTAACTCCCACAAGCAGGTTATGGATTATGCAAATTAGAAAGAGTACCGAGGCGGTTCTTTTTCCTTTTTAAAAATGCGAGCGCGTGAAAACGATGAAGGCCGAGTAACAGCCGGAGAGAATATACCTTACTTATACAGGAGACTAAATTTTTTAGAAGAACAACGAAGGTATAGTTTTAAATCACTTATGAGATTGTGCTGAAAGTGACGAGGTAAACAAAGAAGCAAACATTAAAGCTCACATCTAGTAAAAGAAACCGTGAAAATTTCCCATTGCAAATGGTTCAATAACATGATAACATTTCAACAAAATTTTCTTAAGTATATTTTGAAAAGAGGTCGTTTTTGCCTGAGAAACACTAAACAAAAAATATATTTAGTGAGTTCCAACAATTTCCGAAAGATAAACCTTGTCGCAATTAACTTGGCAATTCTTATCGATAGATTCACTTTCTATTAAACAACCAAGTGTGAATCAGCTTCCAGGAACATCAAATGTAAACAATCGAACGGTTTATTGTTATTTTCCAACTGCCACTATAGAGAAGGGTCATCAGCGGGGAATCAGATAAAATTTGTCCCATAGTCATAACTGTGCACCAGTGAAAGTTAGTAAAAAAAGATTTGCTGTAAAAGGCAATAACCCTATTAATTAAAATTACCCTTTTTGCTCAGGTACTGATTTCAATTGACATCATTTCATCAGTTGAAAATTCAAACGTCGCAACACGTGTCTGACTCATTTATGAACTGTATTTCTCAACATTTTCATGGGCAGGATGCTGATGAAAAACCCTTCACTTGCCCGGAGGACAGAGGAACTCTGGTCAGAAAGCAGGTCATCAAAGTTAATTGCTTACTGTATCAGAGGTCAATAATGAAAACATTTAATCGTCTGAGTTCACTGTGGAAATCTTAATGCAAATTCGAATGACGGGTGAAGCTCGATGCCTGCCAAGTCTATAATGCTGCATTGTGTACTTGTTTTAGTTTGTTGTTGTTGGTGTTATTGTTGGTTTTTCCTTTCAGTTTTTTGTTTTTCAATATTTTTTTCTGTTTTTGATTTTGTTGCTGTGCAAACAGTGATCAAAGTAAAAAGTAAGTCAGAAAGTAAAGCAGCAGATAGGAAGGTTCTGGACAGGCAATAGTGATAAACTAGCTTATAGCTACAAAGTCATGTTGAAAAAGAGTATTGTCCGATATGAATGATAGGAATTCTAATTTATACTAAGCTGAAATCATAACAATAATCCGCTGGGCATACGATTATGAAGTGCTGAGGTGTATTTTCACAGGGTAGAAACTCCACCTAGGTTTAATTTAATGACTGACGCTGCTTTGTTAATTCTAGGATATTTTTCCAGACAAAGCAATGGAAAGGAAGATTCTTTCGTTTGCCATCATATGTCCAAGTGATGGATGCGAGTGGATTGGGGAACTAAGAAATAAAGAGGTTTGTAGTCGAGAGAGATGGTTTTTTTTTTACTTCACCTCATTGACTCGATGGACCTAATTGACTTCACTGATCTTTATCACCATTCAAAAGCCTGGCTCAGTGTTAGCTAAGCAACCATACTTTGGGGGCATTTGTGCTTCGTGCCATAAATGCATGCTGAAACCTGATACAAGAAGAGTACAAAGTTGACGACGTCAAATCGTTATGCCCACCTTCAGTGTTTGACCCATATCACAAATATCGAGAAAGAAAGTGACAAACGTTTCCTTCAATCTCCTTTTAAAAAACTATTAAACATGACTTTCTCTAATCTCTAACAGACTCACTTGAATACTTGCTTGTTCAAAGTCATACCCTGTACAAACGAGAACTGTCTCGAGGAGGTACAACGACAACAACACGAGCAACACGTGACTGCCACATGTCAGTGGAGAATTCTCAAATGCAATTACTGTAGTGAGCCACACCCAGAGTGTCAAATGCAGGTAAAGACATGATTAAAGTGAATTGTGGAATTTGATTTCTTTACTTTCTGTTCTTAGCATTCTTATTACCATTCTTTGTTTGTAGTTGTTAACATCTGGTAAAAAAATGATCAACGTCGGTAGTAAAGAATAATTATTTTTTCGATTAAAATGAGGCACACACACACACACAGAACAAAAACAAAACAAAAACAAAACTGGCAATATGATTTAACACTTCATTTAATTACCTTTAATAAACGCTGAAGATTTCTTATTAATAGGGGTATCGGCGTATAAGGGTGTGATTCGTGATGGATCGGAAACTTCTTTGAGAAACATTCCCACTCGGTTAACAATTGCCTTTTAAAAATACGACGCCTGAAATAACCAGCTTGAAATACGTGCACTTCAAGTGTGATATCAGAAAGAATGCATGAAACAATAAGTTACGAGGCCTTTGTTTCATAGCTCCGCCTTGACAAGTTAATAGGGAGCTTAAGCAGCAGGAATTTTCTTCACGACGGAGGGCTTATTGCCGAGAGGGGATTGATCGAGATTGGCGTTCTTGGCGCGAATTTTTCACTTTAAGCAGACTTTTTTTTTTTTTCACGACGGACACGAGCGTAGAAAGCGCGCGAAAATAAAAATTGCAAGCCCGTGATGTAAACAAAGAAACAAAAATTGCTTTATGTTGTGCGTTCGCACTTAAACAACGAAAATGTGTTCATTTAAAGAAGCTGGGGAAATGCTTTTATTAAGCCATGACATGAACGTCATCAGTGACGAAGAACTACTTCTGTTGCTCGAAGAAAACACGTCAAGAAACCTCGAATTCAGCTATGGCTTGTACTAGCGATTTGACTCAGATGAAATCTCCTAGCCAGAATGTACGTATACTTTAGTTTCTATATTGTTAATCATACACTTAACAAAGTAAACAAGACACATGTACAGAGGTTGCCAAGAAAACTATCGGTAAAAGTTTATATGAATGCGTTTTCTAACAAAAAACTGAAATTGTCAGTTACATTTTTATTTAATAAGACTTTGTAAATAAAAGACGAGTGTGCAGAAAGCTAGAAAGGCAAGTATTCAAGTAAACAGGTCGCGTCGAATTTAAGAGCCCATGACTGTAAATATCGAGAATCGCTGGCCAAGCTGAAAAATGGAAGATTCTGATAATTTTCCTGGAAAACCCTTTTAGGGAGATATATTTGAAAAAAAATATTTCAAAGTCTGAAAAATCAAATGTTTCCGAGAAAATGGGGAAAACGAAAATTCGGGTTTTTACTTAATTAATTATGCAAAAAATACAGTAATATTGAGCAACTTTAGCGTGCTAGTAATGAAGGAGGATGTTTCGTAAGAAATCTGGGATGTTTTTACTTGAAAATATAATTCATTTGATTTTTATTTATGGCACTTTTAGGATCTTAAGTTTAATTTTACAAGATTTTTTAACAAAGTACTCTCAAACACTTGTTGCAAGAGTGAAAATTCGAGCAACTTCAAGCCTTCAAAACGCGTCTTGGTATGTGAGAAATCATGTCAAGATGCATGCTAGCACAAAGTTTGGTCCTTATACTAAAATAATATGAAATAAAAAGTTTGGGTAATTCAGAAAAGTGCCGGCAAAATACAAGAGTTTACGACGCAATGTGGCCAAGGTCATGAATTTGCATGATACAAATCAGTTCTAGAAATCGTACTTGAGAGCTACGAAGTAAACAAGATAGTCAAAGATGGTTAAAACAATTATTTGATATGGAAATGATATGAAATTATACAATAAAAAATCCATAGACATTGCTGAAGAGGGCTGTAAATTGATGTGTAGATACGAAATTTTCTGTTAATTTGAATTGCACTT